TGAGGAGGACTCAAACAATATTGGTATTAACTTTTACTAAGTATTACACAACTCAATAACTTTATATTAAATGTGAATCTTATAAACCCAACCGTTAGATTGAAAGTTCTTTATTCTTAGATCATATATACAAAATTTTATATTAATCCAAGATGATTTGATACTTCATTCTTATAAAATAAAATTAACGTAATATATATATTTCAAAATATAATAAAATATGAACACTTTGATTACCTTCAAGTAGTTGTTCAATTTTAACAAAATTTGATATAAACATATAAAGTGATATAAAGTTATAATTCAATGGTTGAATGTACAAAATTTACATTTAATATAAAGTTATTGAGCGGTGTAATATTTACTAAAAATTACATCAATGTCGTTTGAACCCTCTCTCTCTCTCTCTATATATATATATAGACACAAACACCCAACGATTGCATATTGCTCACATTTGGAATTTTATCAAAAGATTTCGAGTTCATGTATTTAAATCGATGAATAAAACCTTATTCTACTTGAAATATATAGAGTATTTATTTGTATTATAATTTTTTTACAAATGTTATGGATCAAATTGTATGAAGGTGTTAAATTTGATGGGCTAAAAAAGGAATGTATATTAGATGAGGTTTAACTTTGTCAATTCATCAAAGAATTCAATACTCACCAATGATGACAAGAGATTAAGACAAAGATGTCGATGATGATGAAGACTATCATGTTTCATTGTCATATCAAAGCATCAACGAATCACATGAAGATGAAATGGATGATCATGTATTGTTCGATAGCGATGTGAAGTCAAATGTTATTGTTTGTTGTCAAATGGTTGAACCAATTTCTATGTATCCATCCACAGAAGATAACATTTAAAAATCAAATTTGTGACTAATGTATGTTAAATGTTTAAAAAAATATATTTGAAATCTATTTTATTAAAATTTTAATATTTATTATTATAAAAATAGGTAAAAATCAATTTTGGAATAATTTATCTCACTGCACTAACATCAATTGGAATCCAAATCAACAAGAAATCCTGGGGATGGATGTACTAAGTACTTGGTCAATTGACCAAGATTAATATGTTGGGTTGGAGTTTGAGAATAAAACAAAATTTCATGAGAATGCATCAAAGTTTTTATGTGATTGAGTCCAAAAAGACCAAGTGGATTGTTAGATATCTAAATTCACATGACAAATGTGGATGGTACGTAAGATCCATTAAGTCGAAGAAATTCAATAAATGGAAAGTGACTTAGTGGGGTGTACATCAAACTTGTTTGAAGATGTCTTTGTCATAGGATTACACTAAGTTAGATTCTAAATTAATTGCATCTTTTATACAAGGTAATTATTCTAATGTGCATTTCTTTCATAATTTATATTATTATTTACTCATACATAATATGTTGGAATGGTCAACCAAGACCTGATAATCAAGATTAGCCTCATCCAAGAGAAAATAACATCACAGGCTAGGTTTAAAATATCTTATAGTAATGTTTGGATGGTTAAACAAAAAACAATTGTTAAGATTTTTTGTGATCGAGAAAAATCATACATTTTTCTATCCCAATGGCTTCAATAGATGAAAGAAATTTCCTCGACGTCATTTTACCATTTGTGCCATGATGACTTTTTTTTTGTGGAAATCATTATGATTGACATTACCGTCAATTTTATCAATTATTTTGGACTTTCGAGTCGTTGCATTAATTATTGTAAAGTTTTGATACAAATTGATGACACTCATATATATGGTAAATATTAAGGTACATTGCTCATTGTCATAACACAAGACAGTAACAACAATGTTCTTCCTTTTACATTTGTTGTAGTTGAAAGAGAAATGTTACTTGTGTGGTCATGGGTTTTGACTCATTTGGGTGAACATGTGACTAATAAACAATGTATATGTTTAATTTTTTATTATCAACAATGTATATAGTTCTCTATTGACAATGAGGCACTTGGTTGGAGATTTCCAAATACATATCAAAAGTATTGCATTCATCACATTGCAAGTAATTTTAATCATTATTTCAAGGATGTCAAACTTAAACAATAACTTGTAAAGTTAGGTATAACAACATATAAGTCAAGAGATAAATATTATAATTGTTATTATTTTGGTTTTTATAATTTTTTATTTAACATAATTTGTGAATGTAGGTTAGACACCATGTAGACACAATTTTTTTTATATCACATTTTGCAAAAGTTTTTTCAATTCAACCTTGATGTTGAAAGTTGGATACAAGAGGGATATCAAAAGAAATACGAACCATGTCGTATGATGTAAATCGACAGAGATATCATCATAACCAATTTGTTTAAATGTGTTAAAAGGTATTGAAGGAATGTAGTAATATTCTTATCACTACATTAGTTTAATCAACTAATACCAGTGTAAAAAAAAAAAAAAAAAAAAAAAAAAAAACCAGGGTTTGATAAAAAAATGATGTTCATAAGCTTTTGAGTTCAAGTATTGTGTTTGATAAAAAAATATATTGTTAAAAAATATAACCTTAATGTAGTCAAGGTATCGAAAGAGACTAACTTTTAATGAAACCTGTAAATACTTCAGTTAATACGATGATAAAAAAAAATGGAAAATGTGAAAAGAAAAATGATGCTTTGAATAAAATGGGCCATAACAAAACAAAAATGGTCCAGAGGGAGGAAAAAGCCCACTGGCCCAAATTACCGCAGACCTTCAATGCCAATATTGTTCAATTGGCCCCAAAAATCCAAAGCAATTAAAAGGTCAAGATTCGAGTCTTTCTACTTACCCTTTTTCACTTTTTGGTAGATTACATATCTTATATTTTGATTTCTAAAGTTAAAATTCTTAAAACACTAACAAAATTTGTTCACAAAACATTCATATAGTGTTCAATTTGTTATATGGATAAATACAAAGCTATATATGATAGAAATAATGGAGAAACTTAAATAGAATGTGCCTATTTTAATAGAATTACTTATTATTGATACACCAACAAAGAGTCCTCACAAAACTTCAAAACAAAGATAACTTTTTCGTGAAAGTGATGCTGACAAACAATTGAAGAAGAAAATTATTCAATCTATGAAGAAAAACATACCAAGGTTTCATATTTGGTTCGACAGAATTTTACATCGATCACATGTTTGCTAAAAAATCAAATAGATAATCAAATTTTATTGCAAGTTCTGTACCAATTGTGAGATGAGTTGTTACATGATTTTTAATTTTTTATTGTGATTTTTTTTCCGGATATATATTAGAGAAGTTTTCTTTACTCTCGCAGCTAATGGTTAAGTTCATTGTTTAAACCAAAAAAAAAAAAAAAAAATTACCCTGGGTAATGAAGAAGTTGTTAATTCCTATATTTTTTTTTAAATTCTGGATAACATTAATGGGTGTATTTTACTTTTAGCAGTTACGAGTGGTTTTCCTTATTTTTAAATTTTAATCAATAACTTAGATAATTGTTGTCAATAGGTTCTAATTGAATTTCTCGTAATATTTTATGAGGAGATTTTAATAATTATACTTGACTACTTTTGTAGTGTTAATATGAAAATATTACAAGATTTGAAGTCCCAAGAGATTTTTTAAGACGTACTGATATTTTATTTTTTATATAATTTTTTTATTTAATTAGTGGATTTTGATCTTTCTTGATATGTTATCATACAAGTAACTAAATCAAGTATTTACATTTACATCACCACTTATTAAATGTTAATAAATAAAATATTATATAAAAAAGGAAAATATTAGTACGTGTCAGTAAATCCCTTGCTGGAACTTAAAATCTTGTAATATTTTTATATTAATACTACAAAATTTGTCAAATATAATTATTAAAATCTCCTGAAATATTACGAGAAATTCAATTAGAACCTATTAACAACAATTATCTAGGTTATTGGTTAACAATAAGCAAAGTTACCGATATTTGCTAAAAATAGAATATAGCCATTAATATTATACAGACTTATGTTCCAAAAATGTAAGAAATAACTACTTCTTCATTACTTGGGTAATGCTTATGGTTGGTTTAAACAGTGAATTTAACCACTATGTTTTTCAAACTGAACCGACTATAATTGGATTAGCTTGGATAGGATAACTGGATTAGTTTCTTTCTTACCATGTTTTTCATTAGCTATGTGACTTATGAGAGGATAAGATTATCAATCTTGAAACAAAAGCTCTTTCTCACTGTTTTAGAAACGATACTAAGAGTCTCTTACAAATAAAGAAGTTGACAATATTCAATTCAATCAAACAAGTGAAATTTTAACCAGTTGATCAGCTCTAACACTGGCTGGATTTTATTGCTGTGTTGACATGATCTGAATTTGAAATTGGATACTAGTAAGTACAAGCTATTTTGATTTGGATACACATCAATGATACTCCAAAAGCCACACATGTAGTTTTTGGATCTATTTGTTGATTTCAATTCATCAGCTATAACATAATTTACAAACATATAAAGAACAATAAGTAACAGAAGGATCATTGACAAAGAAAGTGATAAGCACAACAAGCTTCTGCTCTCCATAGCTGTGATCATATATCCAATTCATCATTTGGAACCCAACTTGACACTTGAAGATGAAAGAAGCAGTGAAGACACAGAGAAACTTGAGTTATTGCTTTTTGATTTCAAAGTTTGCATGATTGGTACTGATGAAGAAGATGTTGGCACAACTCCACCAAAGCTTTTATTCCCACATGAACCATTTGCAGGAGAGCCTTTTAGAAGCACATCAAATTTTGCATATTCCTCCCTTTCATGCTTTATCTCCTTGAGCATTGCAGCAATATCTCTCATTGTTGGCCTTTCATCAGGGGATGAATTCACACACAATAAAGCTATTCCCAATGCCTGCATCATTTCCTCTATTTCTGATTCTGGTCTAGAGAGTAAGCTTGAATCAAGCACTTCAAGACCCTTTTTCTTTCTCACCCAATCAACAACATGTAGACCATCTGGTATGGTTGGATCAATTGGTTGCTTACCTGTCAAGACTTCTAACAAAACTACACCATAGCTATAAACGTCACTCTTCTCTGTGATCTTCATCATATAGCCATATTCTGAAACAAATTCAAAGTCACCATTAGCAAGCTAAACAAATTATCTAAAATATATAAAATGTGACTGAGAATGAAGCCAACTATTTCAATCAAGTGTTCTATGACAAATTAGTAGCTATAGTTTCTTCACATTTGTTTTCCTTCTATTATGATACTAATTGTATTAGATAAAGATAATAATTAATTGTGCAGAATACTAGAAGCAATTTTTGCAGGTAAGAATCCAAAAGATGAATATGATCAAGTTGGTGCGGAAGCACACTAACCTGGAGCAATATATCCATAGGAACCAGCAACTGTATTGGAAGAACGACCAAAATCACCATCATCAACAAGTTTAGCCAAGCCAAAGTCAGCAATGTAAGGCTCAAATTCAAGACCAATGAGGATGTTATTGGCTTTAATATCTCTGTGAACTATAGGAGGGGCACAGTCATGATGTAGATATGCAAGTCCTTCTGCAGCACCTAACAAGATTCTGTACCTAAGTTCCCATTCCAGAGAATTTCCACTTCTCTCATGAAGTAGGTTACTCAAACTTCCATTCGGCATATAATCAAAAATAAGCAATCTTGTTTTCCTGTTCCAACAGCACCCCAAGAATCTGACAATGTTCTTATGACGTATTGAGCCAAGGGCCTTAACCTCAGCTGAGAATGAGTCACGAACTCCACTTTTTTCTTCCTTAAATGCCTCTCCATCATCAATAGTTGTAGGCCACAGTTTCTTCACAGCAATGACTTCACCATTATCCATTTCAGCTCTATAAACAACACCAGAACATCCCTTGCCAATTATGTTTCTATCAATCAAACATCTCATTACTTGTTCCACTGAAAAGTTTAGCTTTTGGAATGGTATGAATTGCCAAGTCCATGAGTCCCCCAACTCGGAATCATCATCTCTAATGGTTCTCCTTGCTTTGATCACAGCAGTTATCCCCATAACAGTCATTATTACTGTCAAGGCTATCAACAATCCAATGGCTAGCTTAAGCCTTCGCGATTTCCTTACATCATTTCCATTCAATGCCACACCTGCCTTGCCAGAATCCTTCACAAAGCATGACAGCCCTTGATTTGCAGTGAAGTCTTTTGATGATAACTGCCTGAAAAGCTTGTTATCTGGAAGACAGCCAGAAAATTTGTTGTAAGAAACATTGAGGGAAACAAGGTTGTCTAACACTGAAAGAGGCTGCAAATCTCCTTCCAACTGGTTGTGTGAGAGGTCCAAAATGGAAAGCTTGTTAAGAGCTGATATCTGAGTTGGGATTGTTCCACCGAGTGAATTACAACTAAGATTGAGAGCAATTTCTAGTGACTCAATGCGGCCTAACTCGACCGGTATGCTTCCACTGAGCTTGTTGCTACTAAGATCAAGCAGTTGTAAATTTGAACATAAGCTCAGTGATGCAGGAATAGGTCCAGAAAACAAGTTATTGCTTAGGATCAGCTTACTCAGAGAAACAAGACGACCTAAACTTGCTGGTATAGGACCTGAAAACTTGTTGGAAGATGCATCCAATACCTGAACTGCAGACAGTGAAGACAAGGTATTAGGCAAAGGGCCTTCTAAGTTGTTACTGCTTAAATCTATCATTTGCAGTTCAGTGCAGCTTCCAATCTCATCAGGCACCAGACCAGCAAGGCGGTTCGAAGAAAGGTCTAAGAAGTTCAAGCTCTTGAGGTTGCCTATTGTTTTGGGAATGCTACCAGTGATCCTATTGATTCCAAGCCTCAACCTTATCAGAGAGCTGCAACTGCCTATTGCATTTGGTATGAAACCTGATATGTCATTGGAAATCAGAAGCAATTTTGTGAGGTTTTGGAGCTGGAATATGGCATCAGGAATACCACCAGTGAGTGCATTCCGCGACAAGTCTAGTGCTTGAAGGTTGCTGCAGTTCCCCAAAGTGGAGGGAATGCTTCCCTCAAGTTGGTTCTGCCAAGCAAAGAACACCATGAGGTTTGACAACTCACCAAGCTCTGGTGGAATCAAGCCTGAGAGCTGATTTGTGTCAACTTGCAACTGTTGGAGGTTTTTAGCATTTGAAAGACTAGAAGGGATTGAACCAGACACATTGTTATCACTAATCATAAACTCTTCGAGCTTCAAAAGACCTCCCAAAGACAAAGGAATAGTCCCAGACAGAGAATTTAGAGAGAAATCAATTTTTCTCAAACTTGTGCAGTTACCAATCTCTTCTGGGATAGCACCCACAAGACCATTCTGCCATAAAAACAACTGTTCCAGCTTCTTGAGCTTACCAAGCTCAGATGGAATTGACCCTGATAGGCTATTTTCATATAGAAACAAGTCCACGAGTTCAGAACAGTTACCTAACTCATGTGGAATCTCACCAGAGAGCATGGTAGTATAAATGGAAAGTGTCTGAAGCTTGCTAAGCCTACCCAAAGAAGCAGGCAAAGAACCCGATATTCTTGTATCAGCCAGACCCAACACAGTCAAGTTTCTGCATTCTCCAAGCTCTTCAGGAATCTTACCAACTATATCTTTGTTCCCTCCTGCTCTTAGTGACTCAAGTTGTGACAGCTTCCCCAGTTCAGGTGGGATACTCCCACTAATTTGGTTATCAAAAAGGAGTAGATTTTTTAGGCCAATGCAATTGCTTAACTCGGCTGGAATCCTTCCACTGAGCTGGTTGGAGTTCAAGGACAAGTTCTGAAGGTTGTGGAGCTTGCCAATGCTTGAAGGAATAGAGCCAATAAGGTTGTTGGAGCTGAGATCAATGACAGTAAGGGAAGAGCAATCACCAATGTCTGAAGGGATGGTTCCAGTGAGATTGGCATCAGATATGACAAGCTTTTGAAGAGAGTGAAATGAAGAGAGGTTGGAGGGTAAGGGAAGCTCAAGAGGGATGGATTGTATGTTGATTTCAGTGACAAAGGCTAGTGAGGAGCATGTTATGCATGTCCAGTTGCATGGATTGGGATCAAGGATGTTCCAGTTGGAGAAAGATGGAGGGGGTGGTGATGCAGAAGAAGAAGCATGGAGCCAAGAGAAGAGAGTTGAGGCTTCATGGTTGGAAGAAAAGGCAAGGCCATAGAGAAGTGTGAGTTGGAGGAGAATGATACAAAACAATGAAGAAGAAGGAGAAGAGGAAGAGATGTACAAGGATTGCCTCGAGGTGAGCATTGAAACAATGAAACATTTGCCTCAAATTCCAAACTTTTCTTCTCCTTGGGTTTGAGTCATTGGGTTTTGCACTCTTCACTCAACCTCCCTCTACTGTGTGTTGTGGCTTTCTTGCTTTGAACTCAAACTCAAGAGTGTCACTTTTCTTTCCCAAACAAAGCTAAAACTAAAAAGCTCAGTTCACACCGTAGGAGAATAAAATAAGATAAAATTGAATGCCTAGAGATCAGAAAATCTGCAGAAGTAGCACCACCCCACCACACCTAAGATGCTTCTGTGTCTAAGGAAATGCATTAGAATAATGGGGCTATGTCAGGTGGTGTTTCTTGCACTGAACATAGGCATCTTATATACCTCTGGACCTTTGCTGCAATGCACATATATATCATTATGCTGTTTGTTTATTGCTCAACTTCTGAGAAATGCTACTTTCTTAGCCAGTGTGCTTTGCTCATTTTTCTCTCTATATCTCTTATTTTTAATGAAAAGTTTTGAAGGAGAAAAGTCGTCCAAATTCTTAATAAACCATATGTGTCCTTGGTGTGTCATCACACATATTTTTTTTACCATATGTATCCTTGGTGTGTCATCAAACATTTTTTTTTCCTTGGCAGTGTTTTCGATCAAAAGTCGTCAAAGAATAATTTCTTTAGACATGAAAATCTATTTAAAAATTAATATATGTTTATAAATGTGCATAATCAAATGATTTTGTCATATGCTTAGTACACGTGAAACTGACAGTGAAGCCCTAACGTGTAGTATTATATCTCTCTCTTTTTTCGTTTAAATTTATTTGTTCTTCTTCTTCTTCTTTTTTTTCCCTGCAGCATATACAGTATAATATATATCGGCTATTCATCGAAATGAGATATTAGGTGCAGTTTGTTGATGGATCCAATGGAATTTTACATTTCTTATGTATAGATGAGCCCGAATGTGCATAAAATTCAGCAGATTTAATTTTGATTGATTTTTTTAGTTAAGTGGATGGAGTTATTGATGGATTATACTGATCACACCAAGTTCAACAGGATAAAAATTTAAATCTACAGAAATTTTCTACTTAAAATGTTCTTTATATTATTCCATTAATTTGACTCCCATATATATTCATGTGTTCTCTTCTCTCTTTTAACTTTTCCTCTTAAGCCTAATGATTTATTATTATTATTATTATTATTTGATACGAAAGTATAATTCAAATGCCACTCATCTTATAGGAGTAATTAAAGTAATATTTTTAATCACAATTCCATATTTAACACGGAAATCAAATTATAATTATTAGATAAGGAACACAAATATTAAATTAAACTTAAACTTGATGATTTTACATATGAGTTGTATCTTTTATTTTTGTATATAATCTTTAAAGAAATTGATTCATAAATATAGATTGTGGGGTGAACGTGGGCACCATCATACACACATACATAGTGTATAAAATTTGATGTTTTTAATGTAGTGGATCGATTGAAAAGGCATGTAAATCTTATAATCCCACAATATATGTATTATCATTATACAATTTTTTCCTCATATATAAATCACTTTATTTTACGTTATTAATAGTTACAATCCTATTTTATAATGTTTACAATTCAGCATACAAGTTGGTAATATATTACATGAAGCCGAATGATCGGATTCAACAGGTATATATCATTGTTCCCTTTATACACGTACATAATAAATAAAATTGGTGTCATAGATTTAGTTCAAAGTTACCATGCATGCATGATTTGCAAAGAAAGATGGCAATCATGTGACCTAAAAGACTTTGAAACAACAGCACACATAACATAATTTGAACCAATGTTATTCCACATTCCACAATCATCAAAAGAAGAAAAAAAGAGAAAAGCAAAGGGGGATAAAAATGAAGAAACAAAACAAAGCAATATGAAACCATGACTCTCTGATAATGTAAGTATGCAGCCTAAGGTGGCAAAAATAATTAACATTATAGGAAACTAGTTGTTTAAGTAGATAGTGGGGTGGCAGCAACAAGCTTTTAACAAAAGAAAAAACAACATCCCAGATTTTGAGGCCACATCACGTGAGTATGGGAATCCAAGTTTTTCTATTCATTGTGTCACCCAACTAAACCCTTTTGTTAATGATGGAGTTTTTAATGTATGAAATTTGAATATGGAGTTGGTAGTCAAGGTTTAATATAACAAGCATATCCAATGCATATGCATATAAATGATAGTCCAAGTAGGGCATACCCATAAAATAAAAAAATTTTAAAAATAGATTTAAAGGCATAAAGAGCCAAAAAGGAGAAAAAAGAAAGTTAAACGGCGCTGCTTGCTCAGCCTCTGCGGCCCCTATTTTAAGGGTCGCCACATTGGGAAGCTCCCCATCGGATTCTATGCACATTTTTGGTTCTTTATAAACTCATTTCAACCAAAAACCCAAAGTATACCTAACACACATATCGTGCACTAGCCCTAATTCATAACTTCTTTAATTGGAGATCAAAATATGAATTGATATAAAATAAAGTAAAAGACATTTTTTATGTGTGCGTATGTATATACAACAAACAAAACTATTGTTATTATTATTATTTGGGTCAATACATCACTATGTTATTAACTTTTTAAAATTTGTTAATTAGGATTTTATAAAAAAAATTGTAATTAAATCCTTGACCCTTTACAATATTTGTAATTGGGTTTATAAAGTTAGTAAAACAGTCAAAAAAAATTATTAGTTTTGTGCGTTTAAAACTATCACAAATTAACCAACGAGAATCAATTACAAAAGATATAAAATATCAATGACCCAAGAACAATTTTTGTTTGTTTTTTTTAAGTTCAAAGACTTAATTAATTAATTAATTTTTAAATTTCAGAGACTAATGATGTATTAAGACCTAATATTATTCACTAAAGCATCATTAGCAATGTCAACGTTGAACTCTTTGACCTCTACCATGGTCTCCATACTGTTGGGGATAAGGGGTTATACAACATTGTTTGTGAGTTTGACTCCCTTTCAACAACTCTTCCCATTAGACAACCTACTTAGGAGCATCACCTTGACATGGGTCTCATCGGAAAAATTCAGCAATTATTATCATAAGAATGAAATGTCATTATCCGATACAACTACAATAAAATTATAATACACTACTAGAAAAATATTTTTTTTTTTTGCAAATTATTCTATAAAAAATTATTCACAAAATTTTTTTACAAATTTTCTTGCAATAATAATTTCACAAATTTTTTTTACAAATTTATTTGCGAAAAATAATTTACAGATATTTCTTACAAATTTTTTTATGAAAAATAATCTACAAGAAATTTTTGTAAATTTTGCTACAATTTTAATGATCATGGAAATTATTTTTCCTGGTAAAAATTTGCAGAAATATTGAAAGAATTTTATTTTGTTTCTTGCAGATTTTCTAACAAAAATAAATTTACAATTAATGTTTACTAAATGGTAGAAAAATTTCGCAGATAATTTTTCCTAAGAATTTTCCTACCAATTTTAATCCGCAGGAAAAATAAAAAAAATATTTAAATTTATAAGTTTAATATTTTAAAAAAGCTTCAAGTCCCACATCGATTGAAACTAAATCAATTAAAGAGTATATAAGTTGGGGCAACAATTAAATTACAAGTTGATTTTTATGGTTAAGTGTTAGGCTTATAATCTACAATCTTAGAATTTAAAAGATTATGTATCACATTTTGGAGGCGTGGAAACAAATGCTTTAGATGAATTTATAGTAATTTCTTTGATTTTTTTCGTAAAAAATATTCATGCAGAGTTTCTTGCAAAAAAATTCGCAGGAAAGTTTCTTGTGAATTTTTTTTTTGCAGGAAACTTTCCTGCGAATTATTTTTGCAAGAAATTTTGCAAGAAAATTTATTGCAAATTTTAAAATTTGCAAAAATATATTATCCAAAAAGATATTGCAGATAAAATTTCACAAAAAAATTCGTAAGAATAATGTTTCCTGCGAATTTTAATACAAAATTCGCTTGAAAAGTCGCATATAATATGAGAAATTCTAGTAATAATATAGTGATACGTATTTTATAGTAACACGATATCTATCACTAACAAGTCACTTTTATCTACACTATAGATACAATATATATGTTAATATATTATTAAAAAAATATAGGTATAGATTAAAGTGATACACAATATATATTGTTAAATCTTATTTAAAATTAATATTAAAATTGTGCAGTTATATATAAAGATTTATATTTACATATTTTATACTTATAATGATCCATTTTATTTTTCATTGTATGTAATATATTTTTTATATAATAATTCATGCATATTGGTTGGCTAAATATGACTTTTTTAGTCATAAAAATTTCGTTGTTTGAGAAATTTGCCCATGATAGTTGTCACTCCAACTCATGGTGGATGCATTAGAACTTAGGATCTATTTATTTTTATTTTTTCATTTTTGCTTTCCTACCAATCAAAAAAATATTATTCCTGTAAAGGAATAATTCTCCTTTTGAGAGAACAAAGTAAGGAGAAAGAAACTTCTTCAATTGTATTATTGAAAGAAAGCTGATATAAAAGAGAAAGAGTCTAAGCTACATATATATATATATATATATATAT